AAGCAGAAAGAAAGAAAAGCTTAAAGCTCCAGAAACCGGGAAATGCACCGAAATGCCGTTGCGTATGTATCATGTATGGATGGTTAGCCGTCCGTCCAAAGTCATCTGCTGGCATATATACCTACATGATACATCAATATTACCGGTACATGGAGAGGAGACCTTTCACGTCATGCCAGGGAAGAGCATGAGAGAAAAAACACCAACACATCGGTAACTCCTGCTTGAGAAAATTCTTTTGATCCTTTTTTTTTTTTTTTTTTTTTTCTGTTCTGGAAAACCACTTGCTCCTAGGTTATACCTGGCACGATAATTGGTTACAGATGCAGCCACTCATGAGGCTCATTCTCGTAGCTTAGCCTCCTGAATTCCAAGTACCGGCGCACACGCAGATGTGTATGCACGCTAGATAACTCTGCTCTAGAAATCCCGACATACATGGGAGTGAAACCGCGTCAGCGACCCCAACAGCTGCGGAGCTAAAAAGCCTGCAGCACACATGTGATGATTTAAAAGTGCAGGAGGAAAATCCAAGATCTTTTTTCCCTCTTTAGAATAGAAAAATAGAAAATAAAATACGTGGGCTCCAGTCCCTTGCAGTGCTTCGGTTTACCGGCCGATCTTGTACGTCACGTCAAGATTTAGATATAGTCGCTCTTTTAATGGTAAAGTAAAGAATGAGTGTGGGGGCTCGAGTCATACCTGGTGACTGGCGGCGATTCCTGAGAGAAAGTAAAGAAAAATCCCGAGTTTTAGAGCCGGGAAAGGGACCGCGAATCCGAAACACTGACCGAGAGATGTCTGGGCGATATGTCCTCATTTGTGATACCGAGATACCCATTACCAAATTCTAGAAGGAGCTCCCGTCTTGCCCAGCTTCAGCTCTCAAGTCACGGTCCACAACCAGCCTATTAACACTGCCACATCTTGATTAATTGATGAACCGACAAAGCCCTAAAGAACGGAACAAATATCTCGTACCACGTCCCCAGAACTGTTGCGGGGACGGCCGTGACCTGTCACCTGGTACGCTTCCATACCAATTATTCGACTGTAGTAGCACTGGCCAATCGCTGACGCTGAGAGCGAGAAACGGTGGCGAAAGAGGTTCCAACAAGGCAATGCTACCCAGCGTACCGGAATAAGAAACTCCGCATGCCTAAACGAGAGATTCTAAGACAAGGTGTGAGGTGAAGATAGACAAGAATAACCCCAGGAATAGGAACAGACAAAAATAAATAAACAAATAACGTTACCAGCTGCAGCACTGTTAAATCCTGTGAAACACTTGTCTCATCACTTTTGGGCCTGAATCTCTCAGGCCGAGACCCCGTTATGGCACATGAGGATTGAGACTGGGGTAGATTGCTGTCATTGATTGAGTGCTTTTGAGCGAAGATTAATGATTGATAACAGCATCCAACTCGATTTTCTTCCAGATGTTTGTCCTAGTAGCGAGATGCAGTAGGTAATTTTGCTTCCATCTAATACGGGGCTCGAGCGGTCAATCTATATCATATGGTTCGATATGTAAAAGAGCACGTAAAGTTAGATATCTGCCCGTTTGCTAACTAGCCTAGCAAGGCATGAAAATCATAACGCTCGGATACAGACATAGCCGAATATGAGACCTCTTGACCGTTGGGTTTGGTGTCGATGTCTGTTCACGCGAGACCTGCCCGGCGGGCACGTACTCTATGGCTATTTTGATTCTTGAGCAGATAGTAAGCTTTCAGCAGTATAGTAAGGGATCTGGAGAGTCCTGTCAGTAGGTTTTTTATTATACCTACCACCAATGATATGTTGTTACAGCTTCTGGGTCAGAGAAACATGTCTAAGGGCATTTCTTGGTATCCCCACTACATCGTTGACGTCCCTGAACAGATATCTGACCAGAAGCGATCTACCAGAAACGAGCCGAACGTGTTTCCTGAAGACCCCGCTCCATGGACTTGCCTTGCGATTATCGCAAGATACATTTTAGAGATCTTATCAGAAAACGATATGTAGCCACTTCCCACCGACCAGGCCATATGAAGCACCGGCCCATCACAAATCAATTTTGTTTTCTGTAATAAATGAATTATCCTATTAATTCGGACTGTGGATATTGAGCGCATCTTGGTGGAAGCGAAGGGAGAGTCAGCGCCTCCTTGTCGCGCCGTCTTTAATCTATTTTATCATGGTGGTAAATACATAATCCCCTCACCCAGCGCGCAGGGAGTCCCCGAAACGACCTTTAAGTCACAACTTTGGTTGCGGGTCTGTTGCCAAGACCATGCGGGGTGGTTGGAAGCTGAGTGGGTCTTCCCTGGGAAGGCCCGGTTGTTTTAACGGGGAATGGTGTTCCCGCATTAAGTCTGGAAAGATGGTGATGAGGAAATAAGGTCTCGGGCGAAAACTGCCGGTGTGGTAGGCGGTGTTCCTGACGTGTTTTTTGCTCGTCTCACTTGTTCACCGCACATTTTTTATTTTTTATTTATTATTTATTTTTATTGGTGTCCAATTCTTTATTTTATTCCAGCAATTGTCTCACCTGGAAAAGTCGACCTCTAAAGCGAGCGATGCCGGCTGCGGGCTTTAATGCAGATATCGTTGCTTCGAATCGTGGTTAACCAAACAGGCAGGAGGAAAATTCCCAGTACAAAGGTTAAAGGGAACCCGCCAGCTGCTGGTAACGCTTCCTTCGTTTTGACAGAACCGAGAGCAGCGCGAACCAGAACCGAGGACCACTGTGTGTTTCTATGATTGGAAGGAAAATCTTTGCTTCTTTTGTCCTAGCGGAGGGAGGGGGCGAAGAAACGAAAGCCGGGCTTGCCTGATTATCACCCATCCTGTATGGATTTGTGCTTCCTTTCCAGCCCGACCCAAGCACACGGCCACACGTCCGTTACAAGTATGCATTGCAGCAAAGCTTGAGAGCAAAAAGGGTCGAAGGCACATATTCTACATGGTACGTGCTGATACAATATGTACCCATAGAGTTCTCTCCTGTTGAGGGAGATGTTGAAAGTATCCAGACAGGTACATGGTCTACTTTACCTAGCACACGTGGGTAGGGAGTAAGTATCATGAAGTAATGTAGACAGAAGGAGAGATAAGATGGGGGTTAGGACATACGAGCTCTTTTGAAGACGTAACAGACTCCAAAATAGGTTTCACTTTGGATATTGATGCCAAGGCCCTCTCTGTTTCTCGACATACTCTATGTCAATCAAGGGTCTGGACTCAAAAACACAACAGGGACAGCAGCAAATGAAATTACGCCTTCGCTCAGCCGGGCAACGAGTGCAGGGAAAACGGGTCAGAGCTGACAGGGAAGGAATGACGGATAGAGCAAGCCAACCCCCCCTTCCCTCCGAGAAGCATACAGCTAAAAAACACCCGGGCCGCCAAGAACCAATGGTATTCAGGTGTCGGTTCCCATCCCACGCTCCGGGACCAGGATCTTGGTGTGGGAACCTGTGTTGGATGGCATCCTCGCTAGCGGTGTGGTGCGAGGCAGTCTGGGAGGGTAGTTGGGTTCTTGTGGACAAGCAGCGAGGACAAGCACTTGTGTGTGTGTGCTGCTTGTGAAAGGGTGTGTGTCTAAAATGTGGTACTTTTCGATATGGAGATGTAGACGGTAGAGGTGCGCCGGAATTGTGTGTGTGACAAGATTGGTTCATTACCAACAGTAGACCTTCGCAGCAGAAGAAGACAGTAGTGAGTAGCAACAGCAAGAACAGAACAGACAGTATCCTGAGCATCATAACTTCCGCGGTAGGTTACTGAGTACCTAGAGCAGACTCCAAGTAGATGTAGGTAGGTAGGTACCTTACAACAATTCAAAGCTCGTGGGCCGTAGAAGTAGGTACACACAGAAATCCAAACTGTTCTATGACCAAAGTAGGTACTCTAAATTCTCAAAAAGTAAATCAGCAAGCAGGTGAAAGGAATGAATCCATTTTCTTCCCTATCTAATATCCAGACCCGCCCCAACACAAATTCTGGCGCAGTAAGTCGGTCAGATTTCACAGATCTGAACCGCCTACTGGTTGCACATAACCATACAGCCCTCCCAATCCATATGCCTCCATACCACTTTGGTAGTTCCAACTTCCCTCCACACCTCCGCGCACCCTACATACACCCATACATGCCTGCTCCACTCTCATCATATTCCGTTACCGTGTTGTGCACCAGACCTCCTGGTCCATACTAGCTCGGTCCCAACCGCCTTGATCTACTCCCCTTTCCCCCTTCTAAATCTACTTACACCTACCGTCCGTCCGTCTTTGCCGGCGAGCCCTCACTTCACTTCACTTCCTCCCTCCTCCCTCCTCCTCCTCCCTTTTACTTTCCCCCCATCCCCCCCCCCCCCTCCTCTCCAATATTCCTTTCTCTATTCCTACGGAATATGCGACGAGGGTTAAGTTCGTGAATATCAACACCACACCACATACGAACAGGTTCACCCCACCCTTCGAGGGCCCATTGACGCCAGCAAAACAGCTCGCTTTACCACTGGCGCCGTTTAACACTTATTCAAATAAAGGCTTTTGTCGACTCGGTCGTGAAAAAGTCAATCCAGAATTATCAACCGAACACCAGGTGACCGATCGTCCAGCAAGGGTTACTAAAAAGGGTGTGCAGCTCTCGATAGAAACAAAAGAAAATTAAATCACAATAACAACTGGGTTGTTTTTGTGTGGCAAAGATAACTGATACAAGGTGTGTGTTGCATATATATGTGCTTGCGTGCTTCCTCATCTCCTTGAAAAGTCATGGCGTCTCTCAGGTCCAATCTCTTGAACTGCCCATTTATATAAAATCATATACCCCAGGATTCACTTATATTTAATCCATTCGTTCTAAGCTTGTCGGATTCGCCTCCACAGCCTTTAATCCTTTGCTCTTTTTAAGCGTCTATATACTTACTATTGTGCTCAAAATCAGCTTAGTTTGACTCGTAATTAGTACATTCGTTTTAAGATTTCCAAACATCCTTTTTTTTCAACATGAGCGCCAAACCTCTCAGCCTCCTGGAGGTCCCAGAGACCGTTGCCGTCTTCCACAGGACGCTACAAGATGGTAGTAGATTGGAGTATCGCATGCAGGTGCTCCAACAGCCCGAGAGAGCAAGGGCTTGTGGAATGGGAGCAAAGTCTCATGCGGATCGTCGACCAGTCGATCCACCACCAGTTGTTGAGCTTAGATTATTCCAGGGCGCAGAGAAGACTGATGTGTAAGTTGTGACCGAGAGCTTTTAAAATATTATAATATTTTGTCTGACAGAAATTTAGGACGTTTTCGCATAACTCCAACTTCTTCCTTTTCGCAACTCTTGAACAGGCCAGACCGATTGCCCAAGGAAGAGGGATGCCGGCACCGGCACCTGCTCCGGTTCTCACTGGTGTCCCAGTTTCTGGAATGGCCTATCTGGATCGTCCCAACCCAGCGGGGTATTTCATCTTCCCAGATTTGTCTGTTCGCCATGAAGGAAAGTACAGGCTTAGATTTGCTCTTTACGAAGAAACTAAAGACGAAATTTTCCCAATCCCATCAGATTCATTGGAGCCAAGGGAATGGGCCACACACAGACTGGATGTTAAATCTAAGGCCTTCACTGTTTTCTCTGCCAAAAAGTTCCCTGGTTTGGCGGAAAGTACTGCTTTGTCCAGGATTGTAGCCGAACAGGGTTGCCGTGTTCGCATTCGCCGTGATGTGAGGATGAGACGGAGAAGTGATAGACAGGGCAGAGATAGTGAGGACCGCATGGATGAGACTGCAATGATAAGGGCTGCTAGAAGAGGAGCGACACCTGAGCAGTACAATATGAATGAATCAATCAGGCCTCAACATGATCCACAGTACCACCAGCCAACGCCACACCCAATGCAAAGGACAAACTCCATTGGAGGAAGGGGAAGAAGTGGCTCTGACGCCTCGGTCTCTTCAGTGGTGTCAGAACAGATTGCTCAGCCACAGAGATACGATAACGGATATGTGGCTCCCAGCCAGAACCGTTCACAATTTGGACCTCCTTCTGGACCTCCACAACAGAGTGCCAACCACCACTTGTCGTTCGGCGCCCATTCTCATCCACCGCCTGCACCGCCACAGCATCCTTCACAAGAGATCTATGGGCAAATTGGACGTCCGTACTCGCAGCCTCATGCGCCTGTTGCCCAGCATCACCCATCTCCTCACTTGGCGCCATCTCCTCGCCCGCAACAGAGTGCATATGGTCCACCACCTTCTGCATACCAATCTAGGGAGAACTCTATTTCCATGCAAGGTCAGCAGATGCAGCAGCCCAACGGTCACAATGTAAGACGCGAATCTGTAGATTACCGCAACAGCAGAAGAGATTCAGACCCCGTCTACCACCAACAACAGTACAGGCCCAACACACCTTCCGTTGGACCTTCATACATGGAGAATGGATACGGCCACCACCAGCAACAACAGCAACAACAACAACCGTACCAAGCACCACCTCCTCAGCACTACCAGCCTCAATCACAGGCCCCACCATCTTCAGTATCAAACAACCTACCACCTCTCCGTCTTCCTGCTTTGGAACCCAAGTGGAGGAGCAACCAACCCACAACACCAAACTCGTCAGCTCCATCTGCTTTGCAATCTCCGGGCATTTACCCATCCCAAAACGGAGCAATACAGCAACAGAGGGCACCACCACCACCACACATGGCTCAGCCCCCAGCACCGCCCAATCCGAACCAGTTCCCAACATACTACCCAGAACAGAAGTATCCTTCTCCACCCACACCTTCAAGCGATTCATGGCAAAACTCGTCCAGCACCAAGCCGGACGACAGGGGTACCAAGAGACCATGGGGACGGGTCTTCAACAACCAACACGTCGAAGGATCCATGCAGAATCATGCACGGCCTTCCACCAACTCTGCGGTGTATGGAAGCGAGCCATCTTACGCTCAAATTCCTACCGAAGCTGATGACGATGCTTATGACCTTGGTAAGCTGAAGATGAGCTACCGTCGTGCGGATGGTGTTGAGATTGTGCGAAGACTCCCTGGCGAAGATTAAATTATACGATCATGGTAATTACTTGTGTGCGAACTGTATTTTTGTTTATTTCCCGGAATTTAACGGTTACGTTTGTGGTGGAAATTCGTATATCATCGATAATATCGAAATTTATTGCATTTTTGATTTATATCGATTTCTTTTGGGCTGTCTTCTTTGGGTGTTTGCTTATCTTTCCTTTGTTTGATATCCCGTTGTTTTTCTGGTTTGTTATATCTGGTCTGGTTATTTCCTACAAAGTTTTTCCTTTTCTTTTCAGGCAAGAGTTTTGGTTATTGTACAGACGGAAAACGACAAAAGTCAATTTTTTTTCTCCTCTCTTAGTTGGGCGGAGGAATCCGACATCCACAGTGGGACATCATCCCTCCCAAAAGAAACAATCTTTGATGCCCTTATTGGGTTGTCTCAACAAAAATCATCCCATTCTTTATATTTCATTTGTTCTGTCACATTGGCGGCTGGCTCTTTTACAAATCACCTTTTTTTTCAATTTTGCTTCTGGGAGCGGGTATTTTGAGAGAATAGTTTTCTTTTTTTCAGCGTACCTCATATTTGCCTCGCAACTTATATGTTTTAGTATTTACATATGTTATTCTGTTTATTGAAAAAATTGAATAACGGCGGACCCAACGGAGGAGTTTTGATTTTTGTTTCTATGCCAATTTTCTGATGACTTTTTCAATCCTAAGAACGGATCTTTTTTTTTATTTTTATATCTGTTATCGATGATACTATATCGCCACATGTACATGTAGTACTACAAGTGTATGTAGTGACAACTTGTTCCCTTTGACTCGGTACATGATGCTCGTTTTGTGAATTTCCTAGTTACTCTTTCGGATTGCCTTTTTATGTATATCGATTTTGGAAATTGCAAATTGCATATTACATGTAATTACATACCTAGTTTCTGGTTCTCACAAGGTTTAATATATTCAACTAGTAAACGTTTTGTTTGTTTGCAGCCTCTTCTGGATTGTGGTGTTGTTTGTGAGGTTTGATTGGTTGCTGTGGTTACGTGTGCTTCCCTTAAGGTAGCCACAAATAGAAGGTTATTTTGCTCTATATCTTCCGGTGAAAACCTTCAAGTGATTTCTGTTCCCTTCTCTCCCCGTGCTGAAGTAGGTTGTAGGACTCCTCTATTTGTGTTATTCGATTAGTTAGTAGCGCGTGCCTGGGGAGAGTTCCGGATAACATCGATCCTCCTCCCCCTTCTTTCCCCCATATCCTCGCGTACTCATCTCTGCTCATCGATTCATCAGACGTGCCCCCTAAAGCATCCTTGCCGCTGCTTCTCGCTACCTGCTGCTACATCCATCTGAACAGGAAAAGGAAGTCAAGCCTCTTTAAACTAACTCTACTCTGTCCCCCCGCGTTGACTCATCTCCCCCCCCCCCCCCCCCAATCTGCACGTCAACGAATTATCAGCGAGATTCTCCGATAGGTGCCTGGCTGTGACGTGAGTAAGCTAAGGTACAGCAACTCCCCAAGGGAACGCTGCAGACGCGGGTTTCGACTACAAGCGCAACAATCCTTACCTCTACCTCAGCCCGGCATCCCTTTTGCCACTTTACAACGCTGGTGGAAACGATGCTGTCGACACCACAGAAGGTATTTCTCTTCCCGGATCAAGGAAGACGAAGGAGAAGGGGTGCTAACAACACAGGTCCTTCGTGATACGCTAAGAGAGAGGGTCGACTCTTCTAGCAGCAAAGACGCTAGCTCCCATCCAGACATCGACGACAACAACAACAATAACAACATCAACAACAACCACGTCGACGAATCATCAACAGACGAAGACGACGATCGCGGAATGGAGATGCGAAGGGAGGCACTGAGACAACGGGGGAGGGAGAGCTATGCGAAGCGGAAAGAATCGTCGACCGTTGGCACAAACACAGCGCCGGTTATCACCCGTGGCAGCCGGAGGACTGGGGCAAGCGAAAGTTTCATGGATCGTATCAATGCCATTAGCAACGAGGACGATGACGATGATAACGATGACGATGACGGTGAAGATATATTTTTCAACGAATCTAGGTCAAAGTTACGGCCCGATAACGAAAAGAAGCCCCCCCAACCGAGAAAGAAGCGGAAACCCGATACTGGCAACGGGGACTCGGCGTATATTCCTCCCCACGATGATGAGGCTTCAGAAACGGAGGAGGATGAGCCCTACCTTGAGCCGGAACCAGGTTCTGGGAAGAGGAAGGCTTCATCAAGCCAGCGTCCCCCAATGGATTCGTCCCCCCAATTGCCAATGCGGCAGACGTCTCCATCGAGGACAAAGGCAACACGCGTAAATTCAACATCAACGACAGGCACGGTTGTCAGCAGATTCAAGGAAGGGAGCATGAGGAATCGCGCTAGTGTCGTCCCGCCAGTAGAGATTATCGGGAAGCTCCCGTCCTCATCACCACCACCACGGACTGATGATATGCCAAACGGCATAGGAGGGGAATCGAATGTCTTTAGTTTTGGTAGTGGTACAGAGAAACCTGGGGCCGAGGCTATGGCGGCGGCGGCGGCGGCGGGCAATCATAATAATGATGGGTCATTTACGCTTGGTGGAATGGCTTCATTGATCCCCTTCAACCCCTTCAAGTTTGTTAAAGGTATCAAGGAGTCATGGGATCGACAGAAACGTTTCCAGGCGGAAAGAGAGCAGCAGAAGAAGGAGCTAAGAGAACGGAGAATCAAGGGATTGCTGGCCTACGAAGAATTTAAAAGAATGGGTGCATTACAAGGATACGCCGGGAACGCTGCAGCAGTCATGGGAGCTCAAAGCAAGGCTAAAAACAGTGCTTCATCATTGGGGCCGATCAGAGTAGAACGCGACCAAATTGGAAGGGCCTTCAACACTGATCAGCAGAGTAGTCCATTAGCCAGAAACAATTCAAAGGTTAGAAGGAAGAAAAAATCAACCAGGACACCGTCAGTTGGGGTCGACGCCAGCATGACAGGAATGGCACAGAGCTTTTGCGAGGGTCGTGAGTCCTACGTTGATGAACATGGTACCCTGCACAGATACAGCGTAGATTCCAAATACATGAGTCCTCAAGGAAGCTTCAACAGAAGAATGAGCACGTCCAAGCCCATCACACCGAAAACCGGTGCAATGGGACCACCTCCCCCAATTCCATCATCATCCAGAGCTAATGGTGGTGACTTTGAGGATGCGAGAATCCTCCCTAAAAAGAAGAGCAGTGTTTTCTCCGTGTTCGGGGGCCGCAGCGAGGATAGTAAAGAACTACAGAAGCTGAAGCGCCAGGAACATCTCCAGAAGAAGGTTAGCAACCTTGAAGACCAACTCGAAAGAGCTCGCCGAGAACTCGAAATTACAATTGAGGCAGCCAACCAACAGTCTGCATCACACCGAAAACGGATACCGCCTGTCAACGGCACGGCCGTCTCCAGGGTCAGTGTCATGTCAGCACGCGAATCGGCAATGTCCCTTCGATGATGTCCGACGAGACCGACGAAGGGGACAAAACCGAAGTAGATGATGACCACGCCGCTCCTCTCTCGCCCCTCGCCAATGCAGGTAGCATCGGTGGTAGTTTTATGGCAAAAACAGCAGGAATGACTATTGTGGAGAATTCGGATGAGCAAGCACAGCAGCAGCAGGCTGGAGAACCGGTCTTGCCTGACATCCCACTTCCTAAAAAGGCCCCGAAATCAAGTCTAAGCGGAAGGAGAAGGGTTATATCTAGCTCGGCGGCTGGTTCTAGCAGCGCTTCTGCCACTGCCGCTGCTTTGAAGCATCAGGGGTCGATGCCTGCGATATCGAGAGTGAGGAAGGGATCATCAAAGGTGGAGGCCATACCTCCAGTGCACAAGTTTACGAATGGTGGATAAGGCAAGATTGCGGTTTTGTCGTGAAAAAAGAAAAAAAAAATCGGAGTTCCGATATGTACACTGCACTTTTATTCTCCTAATTTCTTTGTTATTTCCCACTTCTTGTTAACTACTTACGATTTTTTTTTTTTTTTTGCTTTCTCAAGCGGCGCCCCCTTCTCTTACTGAGGTACCTGTCTGTTTGTCTGTCTTGTCTGTCAATCTGGAGCAGGATGAGTAGCGTGGTCTGGCGATGAATGATGAACTGGATTCCCCCCCTTTTTTCTGTCCCTCTTTCTAGTTTCTTCCATCCTTTTTATTGTCTTTTTTTTTTCTTGGGGCGCTTCATTGGATATCGGCCGAGCTGTAGTCGTCTATAAGTTATCAAACCTAGCGGTCTAGTGGTAGTAGGTGTGTGGTAGATGTGGGGGACGGGGTGGGGGGTGTCGTAGTGGTGGTGTGTATTATAATAGTGGTGGTTGCATAGATACACAAGAGAGTGAGTGAGTGGGAATAAGGAGGAGGATGGAGAACAAAGAGGAGGGAGTTTTATTTCTATGTTAAAATTACCTTGGCGCCCTGTGTCGATACATTATATATTACTTTTATACACCCTCTCTTTTATTTGCTTCCGAGTTCTTCATGCTTTGGTGGGAGTGGCGAGGCGAGTGATTTTGCGTGATCCTGGTGCAGCGTCGATCGAGGGTAATGATCATCTAGTCGGTAGCGAACGCACGCTATCCACGAAGGTTCATTTATAGCGCCGGTGACTTGCGAGTAGGTTCTTATATCGGACACGAGGGGCCCATCATTTCTAGGTAGTTAATTAGAGAATCTAGGGTATCTAGCCGTTAGTTTTTGGAAAATATCTACTGGTTATTTGTTACTTGGCCCAGAAAAAAAAAAAGGAATCGCAGCCAGCACTCTTCTTCTCCGCCCGTTTTTTGTGGTGACCACCAATTTCACAAATACCTGTAAACCCAGGACACCCATCCACCCCAAAAACGGATCCGGAACTATAATACTTTCTGACGCTCGGTTCAAGTTGGTGAACAATATTACGCCCGTCCTTTTTTCAAAAGATAAAAGCCACAAATCAATCATTACAAATGTGTTCGGTCATAGAATGATGAAAGCTAGGCATCCCGTCCGCTCTGCCATATATAATCATCATATCGCCTAGTTAGTACTGCAGTGGGTGACCATGTGGGAATCCTGGGTACCGAACTCATTCGTATCTTTTTTTGATTTCTGAATGTGGTGGTGGAGTGGTAATTTTGGTAGTGGTGGCACCCGGGGATGAAAGCTTTGCTAGTACCATGACAGGGGTCAACTAGTGCCAGTGCTAGCACTAGCCAGGCTAGATGGCACCAAAGGAACACTCGGCGATGCCTTATAGTTTAAAAAGTGTGTTCAGGAATGTAGAGTACGTTATACGGATACAAAGCTTAATTAAGCTCTAACCAGCTAGATCCGTCTATGAAGTGCCCATTGACGTATTCTCTATAGCGGATGGCCAGGGCACGCTGCGCCATTCGCCGGCGAACACATGCTAAAGTAATATTTTTAATTACTACAGCTTAAGCTTATAGGTATAGGCTCTTTATATATGGCAGCGCGGCGATCGAGGGTTAATTTGTGGACTCCGTCAAGTGTCTGGGTCTGGGGTGATGAAGTTTCTCTGCACATGCGCTGGGGGCGTGTTTGTGGCAGCTCTGCCATTATCATATCTTGTACGAGCAATGCAATGTAGTGTAGTCGAGAGGCTATACGCCAAACTTAAAACCCTGGAACTTAACCGTCGGTATGTGGTTTCTATCTACAGATGGCATTGGTTGGTTGGAGCAGACAGACAAGCCTTGGCGTATTCCTGCTAGGTGTTTGGCTAGGCGTCCATGATGATGATTCGACAAACCACGACAAGACATCACCAACGTCATTACTACTAACAACGAGACCCAACAACCTCTTCTCTTCTTACGCCCGCTAAATGCCCACTGCCTATACCAACGCCAGCCGTCTATACATACATAGATATATAGGCCAGAGGTCGATACCAGATCAGGTCAAGCCCACCCGCCAGACCAGCCAGACTAGAAAAGGGGGCATAGACTGACAAAACCACAGCATCTCGTCAATCAAATACAGCGCACCTATGGAATACTATCTAGTTTTTCTGCCTGGTAATCCCTTAGATGGACCGGGGGCTGCGGGTGGTTCCCCACGGTACGGAATACCCTACACTACTAGTACACCGCTCTCCGTCCCTGGCCTCTAGAATAGAGCTAATACTAGGTTCCAGGGTATTATACCGACTGTCCCTACTTATAGAATCTGCATCTAAAGACTCAATCTGATTAAATATAATAGGACCGCATACAGCAAACGAACCAACAAAAACAAACAAATACAACACAATCACAAAATATCACTCGTAGAACACTGTCCACGCCGACACGCCGACACGCCGACACGCCTGCAAATCACATATCTGGGCCTAAATACGATCAAAATAAGGGATCGCAGATAAGGGATACCCTGGGCCCTAGCTAATCGCGTAGTCTCTAGGTCTGTATTTACGTCGCCATATGACCGAGTGATCGTTCGTGAATATGTATAAAGTATCGGTACCTGCATGTTGCTGGTTACAACCGCGAGAGATTTAGGGACGCAAACTGAAGGGCATTTATGAGGTAGGCATATCTTTGCATAAACGGATATCAGGCAGTTATAGATACAAGCCGCACCTGCATGAAAGGCGGTCTCGCAGGCGGGCTGACCTAGCTAGGTGAAAACCCGGACCTCAAGCGCTGGCTACAGGTTGGATGATGAATTACTACAAGTATTTTCCATTCATGCATCTCATCCAAACTCGGGTTCTACTCCCGATGGAAAACACAAAAAAATACCCATATACTACTACTCAAGACAAAAAGACAAAAGACAAAAGACATATGGATATAACTACTTTGATTCCCCCAACCAAAACCCTACTTCTTCCCCCCGTCGTATCCTTCACCCACACAAACCTCGCACCCACCCCCCTCTTTGCCAAATACTCCTCCACCGCCTTCTTCTGCGGCCCCTGCACCGTCACCTCCATCACCGGGTTCCGCGGGCTACACCCATTCAGCAGCGCCACGCTCGCGCTCCCCGCACACGTCTTCTGCAGCTCCTCCGCCATGGCGCGCGGGTCAATGCCAAACGGCTCAACGCCCGACACGCGCGTCACCGTCTTCTTCCCCTGCCGCTTCTCTAGCAGTATCTGGATCTTGGGCGCCGCGCCGGCCTTGGGCTTGGCGTCGGGGTCGGTGGTGGTGCCGGGCTTGTGCACGATGTAGTAGGGGGAGCAGGCCTTGATGAGTTTTTCGCCGAGCGTGTCACGCTTGATTTGGCCGGTGCGGAGGGGCTCGGCGTCGGCGGCGTTGCGGTCGTCGAGGAGGGCGCTGAGGGTTGGGTCGAGGCGGACGAGGCGCTTATTTTGTGGGTTGGTGAGGGACTCTTGTTCCAGGTATTTGGTGATGATTGCTTTTACTTCAGCGGGGGTATAGTAGTCTTTGGTTCTATGGAGGGCGTTAGCGACCTTTTTTTATGAGTGGGTTAGTGGATGGAGGAGAGCCCTACCCAGCGCCCACAGCGGAAAATATATGTACTGCCTTGCCATTGGGCCTGTAAAGCTCTACGACCTTTACCAGGCCCCCACCCCCGGCAGCAGAAGCATCGGGGCCTTTCTTGTCGTCTTTTGGCGCTTCGGGGAGCTTGTAGGACTTGAATGTCTTTGCCTCCGGGTGGTCCCAGTTGATATCTATGACCACGACTTCTCCACCATTCCGTGTCTTGGTCTTGATGAGCTGGTCCTTCTCCAGCTGCTTGAAGAACTTTGCCGCGTTCTTGTGGCTGGTCTTTTTGATGTTTAGTGAGGGGTGTACAGAGGTCTGTAGCAGGTTGTGGGGCGGGAAGTGGGATGCGGGGGGCAGGAAGGGGAGAACGAGGGTTGAGATGAACTGTGAGGAGCTTATCGGAAGCTCGACGTTTGTAAACTCGCCGGTTTCAAAGTACTGGTGGAGGCCGTAGAGGGTTGCGGAGCGGAAGGCATCATCGATCTCTATTGGTGGAAAGCCGTTAGCCTTTTGCTCCTGGAGAAGGAGGGTCAATGATACAACGAACCTTTCGTGTTCAACTCTCTGATCTCCTCCCCACCCTCTTCCATCTTTCCCTTCCCCTTTTCTTTCTCTTTCTCCTCCCCATCATACCCCTCTAGCGATACCCCGCCCAGCTCCTCCGCAGCCTCCTCGACGTCAACATCCCCGACGGCCACAGGCATCTCAACACTCTCCGGCACGAACCCCGGATGCCCGCCGTAGTTGAAGATCTCATCGCCGACCCAATGCACGATTCTCACCGCGCGGCCCCTCTCGCCAACAACCTTGCTCAGCCCACACACATCTACATCACATACACCCACCGCCATTGCCACCGTCGGGCTCTCGCTTGTCGCGATACCAACCAATTTCCCCTTCTTTGCGCCCGCCGGGAACGGAGGGCCAATAAGCCCCGGGACCATCAAGTCCGCGCCCGTCTGTAGCTTCTCGAAAACCGGGGAGTGGGTGTGCAGCAGCGGCAGCAGTGTCGGGTTCTTCCAGAGCGTGTAAACTAGTCACCAGCCCGCGTTAGCAAGAATGAACACCGCGCCGACATATATGCAGGGCATACCGGTAGGAAACATCTCCTCGTCACCAGCCCTAACCCAGAGCGGCCTCTGCTCGCCCTTCCCCCCACTCTCCTCCGGGTGCACGCCTACATAGACCGTTCCCGCGACCGTGGCCAGGTCAGGGCCAGCCGTAGTCGTGAATTTGGCGCTCAGGCAGTTCTCGGGGAGGAGGCGATTGCGCAGTGCTGTGACCTCAGCGCTACCGCCGTCGGAGGTGAGGTTGAAATCTTGGATGAGCTGGTTTGCGATCTTGCGGCGGTCGGAGGAGCGCAGGGGCGCAGACGGTTTGATCTGTGGGTGTTAGTTAGGCATATGTAGTTAGGATTGGTATTAGGATGTACATTGGGCTTCTTCTTGAACATTGTGAAGTTATCTGTGTATGACTATGCGTGGGGTGAGCGATGACGTAGAGAAGACTCGAGGGTTTTGGCAGGGTGTTGCCAGGGAAAGGTCTTAGTAATCGTGTGCCTGTATGTACTAGGCTGTCACCTGTGTATCTAATATCGCCTCTCTCTCTCTCTCTCACTCTCTCTATCGCAGCAATTAAAAGTGAGATATTCTTGGTCTCTGTCTAGCAGTCAAGTAATTATTAGATGCAGATAATGTCTCTACTCGAGCGCTGTGCAGGTCCAGATTGGTGGTGCTGTGATCATTGACACCTCTACTAATACTTGGCGCCAAGATGGCTCCTTGCTGGCTGGCTCTAGCTCTATCCTCGCTAGCCCCGCGACTGCAAATATTAGCTTCTGGTTACTACGGCTTTAGCAATTGGACCAATTGATAGGGAGCGTTAGATATCGGGGTGCATGCGGGCATCCAGTGCTGGGTGTAGATGTCTATACATTACTGAGTAGTGGTACCTATAAACCAAGTAGAAGTACGGCCAAGCCTACGTTCTCTAGAACTAGTTCTATCAGGATATTAACGGTTCCAATCCGATTAATTAATGGGTGATATAGCTTGCAAGGACCAGACTATTGGACGATAACAGAACTGATTTCAGGATTATCGAAGAAGAGACGTTTTTTTATACCTATCGCTTAGATAGATAAGGCCAGCCTGTCACGCCACCTAAGCTCCTCTCCACCCACAGGCTCACCGTTACGTACGTATACGTACCAAGTACTGCCAGAGATACCACGGTACCCAGAGTAACATAAGTCAAAACCTTATTCATACCTCCCCCCCCCCCCAGCGCTGACTTACAGTTGACTAAGCACCTCATCCGCTGCAGCTGTGTTGTGCGTGCACGAGGATCCAGGGACTGGAGCAGCAACGTAAGCTTTCCTCACAGCCGTAATTGCACGTGCGGGTCTCAAACTTAGGAAAACCACATGGAGACAGACCAAAGCTCGTCAGTTCCCACGAGTATACATGCAATAGCCCATCCTAGTTAATGTTGACATGATGTGATTACCACCCCAATGACGAGCTAGATCTACAGCACAACGTTAGATGGATACATAGACCTCTCTCTCTCCCTCGTTATCTTTAGCCCTCATCCCACATCTTGGTTTTTCTAAACCCTTCAGCACATGCCTCAACATCGAGCTCGAGGTCCGTATATTCCCGAATGTCGAGAGACTCATACCACCCATGATATATGAGCATGAGTCACTACCACAAAAGACCACAGCGTTCCTCTACATAGCTATAATATATCGATCATGGATTATACTCACCGCTACCTACACTCACTACTATAGCTCCACAGCCTCAAGCTCAGCCCGAAAAACAGTCATATTTACAAGAAACCCGGAAGTTGGGGGGACTTAATATCGAGCTGTGGCGCGCGGTGGGGGGCACTATTACTACAACCTAGTATTTATTACTACAACCTAGTATTTATTACTACAACCTAATATCATGATCCAAATTACAATAGATGTCACCGTTTCACCACTCTGAACGTACACAGCTATCTCAGCGCGCTATCAGTTATCAGCAGTCCGATACCATGATTACCGGAACACTTCGACACCCGGATCCGCAACATACTCTAAGCTTAGCTTACGTACGGGTCGTTCGTGTCGCCTACGATATATCCAGCGGAATTGAAGACAATGAATATTGCCATATATTACAAGATATGCTAAAGATGTCTCGGATCAGAAAAAAAGAAGAAACACCTAGAATACCAAATGAAACCTACAACCAAAGAAAAGACAAGACACAAAAAGAGAGGGAAAAAAAATTCCCGAGATGCAGTGCTAATAAGCGGACCAATTCCCCCCCCGCGCAGATCACATACAAGTTAAAATCCTAGAGTACCATTCCCTTCACCCAAACAAACGCCATGAAAAAAAAACCCAATCAATCCTCCATACAAAATAAAAATAAATGAATATTCCTAACAATCAAACAGTTAATATGCCTCCAAAGGAAAAACTATCCCTATAAATGAAATAACGCTAGTAATAATCTACCATCAGTTCTATCCAGTCAAACTTCGACGTCGACTTCACCAAACCAAACCAACCCAACCCAACTCTACTCTAACCTCTAGCTCTAGATCTATGATGAAGACTCTAATGACCCATACCCAGCCTCTCTCGCCGTCAACAATCCCTCCCTCTCCTCCTCCTCAATCTGCGACTTCTCGCTCCCCGGCCCCCACAGCTTAAACTGCAGTCCCACAGCCGCATCCATAGTCAACACGCCAAAAGCGCCAAAAAAGAACGGTAGCGTGCGACTCCACCACTCCATCGCATTGCTTCCCTCCGGTCCAGCGACTCCACCACCGCCATAAGGCTCGTAATCGCGCCATCCCAGTGGGTTCAAGAGAAGACTTCCCGAATAAAACAAATTTCCGGAAAACGCGGCCATGAAGAGCGCGATTGAGAGCCCTTCGGTCGACTTTCGCTTGGCGTTCAAGATGAGCTGGGGGAGGCGGGAGCAGAGATATCTATTTGGGGGGGCAATAAGATTAGCGAATATGCGCATATATTATGCAGGGAATAAAAAGATGAGAGGCAGGCTTACAGTAGAGTACTAATCCAACCTACAGTCATTCCAATCGCCTCTATCAACTCATCGCTCAGCCACCCTTCGCTCACGTCTCCCAGGGCCGGCACACCCCCACTAACCGGGAGCGCCCCCGCAAGCGTGCCCAGCATTGAAACAGTAACAAAGGTTGTATGCGCAACGCTCGGCATCTTACTCCTCGCCACGGCCGCGCCCTCATCTGCACGTTTCTGCTTCAGGTCTGCGTTGCTGTCTGAGGTGATACTGTCGTCTTCGTCGTCCGAGTTGCTGTTTCCGCCCATAGTAACGCCTTCTAATCGCTTCTCCAGCTCCTTGACCCGGTGGACGACCCCGTACCAGAGGAACTGTGTTACGAGAACTGTGTCGACGAATACATAGTATGCGGCGATAATTTGTTGGAACCACATCTGGTCGAGCATTACCGCTCCTGTTAGGTTGCCTGCATGCAAGATAACGGTTAACTAAAATGGTTCTTCTGCTTGAAGAAGAAAAGAAGATATCAAGGGCTCCTACAAATATCACCCAGCAACCACAGCATTAGGAAGCCCCATGATAAGCCATCTACAGATTGGCGTTTGGTGTTCTTAATAATTTGTGGTACCTGCGCAAACAGCCATGAGCCGATAGAGATGAGGCCTAGGATTGTTGATGCCAGGCTCTGGTTGTTGGGAATGCAGGTATGAAATACTCTCGAGGCCGTCACTAGAAGATCTGATTCTGGGATGCAATGAGGCTCTAATGGGGGGAATAACATTGTAGTCATGACTAGAACAGATGTTCGAGATGGCCAGGTGTAGATAAAAGGAGTAAAGAAGGGGGTGGGTCCGGAGGGGGGGGGGGGGCAGGTAGATATATATGTATATAGATAGATGGTCTCCCAAGATGGGTGAGGAGGGAAGCTATTCAAATAGATAGCTTGGGGAGGAAGGGCTGGGGAAGGTTTTGGTTTTATTCTATGTAAATGTAGCTGCGGTATGCCCGGGCCACTTATCTAAACAAAAATCAGAGCGTGTCAGACATAGGCAACTGTATCATCTCCGATCACTATTCGCGGGAACATATCAGCTCATGTAGTAAAATAACAAGGCATGTGGGTAACTAACTCACACATATCTAATGAGCGGTCTGGTATCTCCCCCCTTTCACCGCCCTCCCTCACTCAGTCCCTCCCTCCCTTTTCCTCAGGCCAGTCTTCGTTCATGAGTGCGTGACCTATTTTATTTTTGCCTTGTTAACCAACTACTGTAGCTAGCTCCAAGCATAGGTTTCCCCACATTTTACTTTTGTTTCTCTTGGACATTTACGTAAATAGCCCCAGCACGCGACTACATTCAACCAAACCACCCCCCCCCCCCCCCCCCCCCATCATCACCACCACCTGCACGGGGTCGAAACACCCATTTACCCCAGAACTGATGTAATGAAAGGGAGTAGGAGTATCTCCACGGGACCATCCATGATATTAAACTCCGAGTCTGAGTCCGTGGCTCTTCCATCCATCCATCCTCCCCCTAATGCTCATCCTCCTCCTCCTCCTCCTCCTCCTACTCCTCGCGAGTTAACTTGTGTTATGCTGAGCCCCGGGGAATCGGCGTGCCTTGCTGGTGGAGATAAGCTGATCTGGTCTCACATCGGAGGATCGCAGCCCAGTGGAATCCGAAACCAGGCATGAGCCTCTCACTAGGTTGGATAGATAGCGGCGAGCTGTGTCTCTTTTTTTTCTCTCGCTGATGCCAGAGATAAGAGGATGGACTGGCACGGTAACCGACGTAACCTCGCCCTCACCTAAACTGCACATCTAGGAACCCTGCATATGCGGAATCTTGGCTGGCTGCTTGCTGCAGTGATAAGAAAGATAGCTTGATCCTTGCACACAGCCGCCTCCTTTCCAATAACTTGGTTCGATCGTGGCATTCGATAGAGTTGAGTTGCTTCATAAGGGTAAAGATATCCTACCTACATATATCTTGCCATGTACCCGCCCATATATGCTGAGCGGGTGCTCTACCTTTTACTCTACGTTCGTTCCGTGTCCAGCGGGGTCGCGGAATTATTATTTTGATTGCTGCTTTTGGGTAGCCACTTCTACAATCTACAAGTAGGACCCGTCGTTTGATCTCTCACATGCTTTGGGAAAGGAAAAAAAAATGCACTACTGACACATGAATATATATTGCTTTGATCTGGGCCCTTGATGGAAGAGCTAAGGTAATTAAAAGAATAATTCTTATCATTTATCAGTCTTTTTTTTTCCCCTCCGGAGAAAATGTGAAATGCATTTTCTTCTACCCCACTTACATCGGACTATTTGATCCCTGGCTAGAGTGGGATTATGCCCTCCTGATTTCAAAGAAGAGGGGTCGTTCTTTTTCTCACTTACGTGCCTATAATTATGTTCACCACGTGACCGCCGGTGTTACAGAGGACGTGCAATGCACAAACATCCAATGAGGAGGGGGAGGACATCAGGGTAAGTAGAGGTAAGTAAGGATTACCTACCTATATCTAGACAAAAGACCGGATGGATTGAAATTCCAAGCTGAAGGGGGTCCTTGACAACCGTACCAGTTGGAATCAAGCACCTACTTCTACCGGTAGAACCCCCCCCCGGGCCCCTCACCCCTGGTGAATCTTGTCGATCCACGATTTCCCGCCCCCACCGGCGGGCGGGCGGAATCGGAGCCACGGTCAAGGTGCTATGGACACCACCACCACACCTCCCTCCGCGCCCGGCGCCGTTCTTACCCCAGGAAACAGAAATATTTTGTTTTGAACCAGCCCACCCGGGGGGTCAGATCTACCAAGGGAAGCTGTGGTGGACTCTTCCTACCCTCCCTCGAGAAGAGCTCATGCCATGCAACTTTAAAAAAACGAAGTTCATGAGCACTCTCCTCGACACTGCTCCCGGGATGAAGCTGGTTGCTTTTGAACGAGGCGCTCGGCAATCTGCTCGGCGACAAGGTGGCTACGCTAGAGTACCACAGTAGGTACATAACTGAAACACTGCGGCCGATCAGGGAATGCCTTGCCCGGAACGACAAATTGGCAAATGTTCTCAGCTGCTCTCTCTCTCTCTCTCTCTCTACCTACTCTAGCAGGCAAGGCAATTGTAGACAAGACATACATACTCGACATGTATGTACGCCATAACTTTACCTAAATACCCGAAACTAGCTCAGTCCCTCTAGCTTCTAGAGGAGGGAGAGACGTCAAGGATCTACTACATTTTAAAATAATGAGCGGCCTATGACGACAATTGCGAAATGATGGGTTTTGGCTTGGAATACCCTCCATGCTTAGTGGACACCTTGGTGTTTACACCACATTACAGGTTCTTGGCCAAGGTCGAGTGATGGCGCGTGATTCAGCTGTCAGATCTTTTGATTATCTCACAACTGCATACATACATGTAGTTCTAGCTAGGAGGTGTGGAAATCACCTCAGTGGTATCTCTACAACGAAGCTATTGTGACTTGGAATATTTGAAGACATGGCACCTACCGCAATGGTGCGACAAATTGAATCATCATGAATTCATCGACGAATCGTGTGTTTGGATTTACATATAGTTACTAAACTCGATTTGGGCCAAAGCGGCCATTTAAAAAACAAATTATGAATATAGTTACACACATAAAGAAAAGGGAAGAGAGAAAAAGAAAGAACAAAGGCCGGCATCAATAAATTGCCCTCAAACAGCGTAGCAAATCAATGGTTTTCGTCACCAAACAATATCCGACTCAAAAGATCTATTTCGCCCGTTCCCGTCTATAAGACTTACGTCTCCCAACAGCATCACTATCAAACGAAAGTACAGACTCCCAGGCCGACTCCACATTGGATGGTCTCACGTTCCTTGAATCATCATCCACATGTTCCTGGCCACGCTCGAACTTTGGGAATTCCAGGACACACCATGCAACATATCCCTTGAGATCAGTAATGGTTTTCAATATAGGTTCAACCTCTTCAAGTCCAGGACCCAAATCGGATACACCCTCATTGACAAGGACCCCTGTCAACTTGGCAGCGTTTCTTAATTGGAGATCTAGGCCCTCGATATTGTCCAATAATGAACGATAGGCCTTCACAATCTCCTTTGTGATCCTTTGGCCGCGTAGCGTCATGTATTTTTCGCCATCACGCCGATCATCCATGATGAGATTGGCATTCCAGCCTGGTGGAAGGTTCAGCTTGTCTTGAAGGTCGTGCGGGATCTGATTTGTGAGGTATTCGAGAAACCCAATAATATTATCTGATGTGAAATCGCCGATTTTCCTTGCGCGAATGAATAAGTTTTTGAGTGACGCATTGATTTTTACGAATTGCTCATGGGCATTTTTCATGTAGTTGGCTGTCAGATCGCCTATGGGTCTTCCATAATGAGGTAGCGCTTTCGCAATCTCGAACCTTTCCGTTAATTTGTCCAGGTAAGATGGTTCCCCGAGGATTTCAATAGACGATGTGAATGCTTTGTACGTGCCGTAGTCCCGCCCGACCTTTTGTGCCAAAGTATCGATGGTTCTTAAACGTGCCCGTTGGGTAGACTTACATGGAAAAATCGAACAAGTCACAGCTTTGGGTACAGTTGCAATGCTACTGCTGATATTATATGCGGCCCCAGCAGGGTCCAAGAAGATATGGCGCGGGCAAGGGACGAAAAACTTGGTGACCAACGTAGTATTGTGTAGCAGCCAAATGAGAATACCAAACACGAATAGATAACTACCAATCCTTCTGGTACGATATTCCTTTGGATCGTAGAGAGCTTCTCTGCGCAATTTTGGACCCGCCTTATCCTTCCGGGAGGGCTTGGCCTGCCCATTAGAAAGGCCATGTTGAGAGCTATTGAATTATTTGATAGTCAGTATAATGACTTTGTTTCAGTAAGATATGACTAGAACTCACAGTAGTTCCTGGTTTTTCTGTGCCTTCGGTTCAATTCCTATGGATTCGAGGAGGCCTTTTTCGTGTTCGTTCAAGGCCGGTACCGGTACTTGTGCTTTCATGTCCTCATGGGGTTTCATGTTCTCATGGGGTGCCTTTTGTTGCTCAAGACGTTCGATATAAGGGGTTTGCGCACTACTGTTTCTTCTAGCTGCTGTCTTTTCCTGCTTAGGGTGTTCGATATGAGGTCGCCTTGCACTGCTTGTTCTTTTCTGTGCCTTTTGAGGCTTGATATGTTCGATATAAGGACTCCCCTCACTAGTCACCTTTACCTGTGCCTTCCCGCCATTTGTCTCGGCCCTCCTGGAAGAAGAACCGGTGTTTTTCAACCCCAACCCTTGACCCGAAGCTCTGGGGGGTTTGTGATGCGCTTTATTGGTTTCTGTCTCTGGTACAGCACTGATATGCGCATTGTTAGTTGTATTAGTATTTGGCGACTTTTTACTTAAAATATGGCCAAGCCCAATCGTTTTGTAAAGTTCGTCAAGCTTCTCTGCCGTACGTGTAAATTCGGCATCGCTATCCCATGCATCAATTTTCTTCCAATCCGGACTCTGATAATCTGAGGGGGCGGGGTCGGGCCTTGGTTTATCGAGGGCATTTGGTCCCTGAAGCAGATTATTCCTCTTGTAAAACTCATCGAGGTCCGCCGCTGTCTTTGCGAATCCGGCATCGTCATCCTCCGATACGCTTGCCCAATCCCCTCTCGATGTCTTCGCGGGGTTAGGGGGAAATAATGTACCCTCACCATTAGGGTATAGAACCTTTTCGAGCTCCTTGTAGAATTCGTCGAGGTTCGCTGCTGCCTTTATGAATTCGGCATCGTCATCATCCGATCCGGGACGTCCTGGGTACTGAGGGTGGGGCTTTGAATCAAAACTCCTGGGTATTTCCTGACCGGACGGTACAGCAGATTCCGGCTCTTCATCATCCGGCTCCCCATCATCGTAGCTTGCCCCTGTATCACTGCGTGTACTGTCATAGTAATCGTTTTCTTCCAATCTTGTATTGACTCTCTCAGCCGGAGCTGCCTCGTAACGCCCAGCTGATATCCCCATAGTTCTGCGAGCTTGTGGTATATTATTTTGTTCGCGTAGGGATGGCGCTACCTGTGGATTTGCTTGCTTTAAATGCTTGTTTGCACTAAATGAGTCCACGAACTTAAGGTAAGTTATATCGTCATCTTCATTAAAACTATGAGAGTCGTCATCCGTGTACGCAGAAACGTCGGGATCGTCTCTTGTTGTAAAGGTCACATTTCTGTGCGTGGGCTGCGCGCGATTTATGCCCCTCATGGCCGATCGATTGGGCGGCCCCACTCGTTCGTGTCTGGAACTCATGGTGTCTGTTAATAAGCTGGTCAGTTTGTACTTGCGGTCTAGGGTGTGCTTCGCAGAATTAGAAAAGGACAGAAGATCTTGCAACAAGGCTATTAGAGCTCTTAAGGATGATGACTTCTTTATGTGAAGTTATCAATGTTCTTTGTTCTCCGCTGACAGGATGTCTTTGTTGCATTCTTAATTGCTCGGCCATTGCCAAGAGAATATATGGGGATTTTTCTTTGACGCTTCACAGAAACGGGTAAGTGATTTCGATTTTGATTTTTCTCATTCGTTGACACATAAATCATTACCAAGGCCGGACTTAACACCGCTACCCTAATTAGACACCCGAGTGAGGATCCATGATCCAAAATACCACGCAGGATAATCAGCCAATCAAACAAGCAGAATTACGGGGACTAAATAATCCCAATTTCTGTAATATTATTTGTTTTATGGAGTGTAAACAAGTTTATAGAGGATAATTAAAAATGGTCTTCGTTTAGTTGGACACTGAAAGTTTACCATAGAAACAGTTGTATTATCTTTGCATACGGGAAACAAAAGAAAAAATCGAATCAATGAACACATTTAGTTGATATATGCATACGTACCCAGAGTGGTTATATCATCTCTCTAAGCACACTATTATGTAATGAGCAAAATAATACAGCTAAAAAGAATTGTGCGGGAGCGCTTAATTGCTACTTACTCGTAGTTACGGCATTCCTCTCCCTGCTCTAATAGCTTTTGCAACTTCACTTTGGGCAGTATTATCGGCGCTTCAATAAATCAGTATGCAGCACAACCATTGAAAGCTAAGGTATTCTGCTATTCGATGTACTCACTATCGTTTGTAAAGCTTTCTTGTAGGTTCTTTGTCGCTCCCAGTTTCATTATAGCTCTTCAAGTCACTCAACGACTTTGCCCAAGCGTTCCATCTTTTCCACTCGGTCGTTTGTGGGACAAAAAATGGACCCTTGTACTCATCCAGTACCCAAAACCTTTGGAGCCAGTGAGCTACAATTAAGTCCACCATCATTGGATTTGAGCCTCCAAAGAAGAACCCGCCTTCCTTAGGCTCCCTCATAGCTTTCGAAAAAGTGAGTAGAGTGTCCAAGTACTCCTTTCTCTTCTCTTCCAGCCCAGGTAGGTCAGTGGCTGGCAAGAATTGGAGGTAGCGATGGAATGCCGGGACCATCCTGGTAGACACGAAGTCGCTCCAAAGCCTTGAGTATGCTCGATCATACGCATCAACTGGGAGCAACTTTTGATGATCCGGATAGGCATCCTCAATGAACTCACAGATGACGCTGGATTTATAGAGGGCTTTTCCATCGTGCTCGAGTGTTGGAACGAAGCCTCGGGGATTGATTTTCATCAACGAGTCTTGCTTGTTGTATACGTATGGGTTGACTTCAACCCATTTGTAGGGAACTTTCTTCTCTTCTAGGACAAGCCAAACACGTTGAACTGGAAGGTATGAGTGAATTGCTGAAAACAATGTGTAACGTGAGTGGGAAGGAGCTGAACAAACCAAAAGGACAGAACCAACTCCCATAAAGGGTAAGGTCCTGGTCTTCTTGATGACGGTCTACGACTGTACATGTCTTTGCGGCACCAGTAGCAACTGGATGAACGTACAGTATCTTCCAACGCAATCTAAGATAGCGGGATAACTTCAGCTTCTGCAACGGAATATTACATGTAATACTTAAGAAGTCAGATATGTAATACAATGACGCACCACTAAGTAGTACACGCCACGGTCAATCTAACTTCACTAAGAAGATCTGTACTGATCTGACCAATCAAGGTCGGTTATTACAAGGATGACGTTAGGAAGCTTGTGATCCGTACTGATGAGAATTCTTGTTTGTACATGTATGTATGTTCATCACGTGCATCCAACTCTAGATCTGCTTTAAGCTTAAAGGATCATGCATCTAAAATGACTAGGTCGCATAAAATCCGTACAATAATTTCCTGCGTAGGGCACACCTTTAAAACAACGCTCCCGCAATAAAAAGTCCGCCTTGTACGCCTGACCATGAGCTTTCAAACCAGAAAAAAAAACCTCCCCGTACATGTATGCCATTTAAGGCAGAAATAAGAAGGGAACCGAAAGAGAATAGAGAGAAAAACAAGAAATCCAAAATACCCCACAGAAGATGGCATACAATCTTCTCTTTTGTTGCGATCGGATCACCCGCGCCTATAATGCTAGTGTGCATAAAACCCAATAAAGGAAATAAAAAAAGAGAAAATGGTGAATACATGAAACCAGAAATGGTATAGAGACGACAAAAATCACCAGAACTTATAAATGCTCCATCAGTCTATCAACTTTCTCTACCTGTTCGTCGATGTTCCCTCTGTTGGTAAGGATAACAACACTGACCAACGCCGCGTACGCTTCTCGGATGGCACAAGCAACACATGTCTTGTTGATATCCGCTGTAATGGCAGGTAGTCCCCAAAATGCACACCAAGCTCTTGCAAATACCTCATTATCGGTCACCCCATATGCTTCCACAACAAGTACTCCCTCAACCCCCATATTACTCTCGCTCTCTTCATCATCCAGCGACGATTCATTATCACCTCCCGAAGAACCCCAGTTTTGTATGTCTACCAGCGTATCTACTCTCGCCGTTCGGTATCGGTATTCACAGAATAACACATGTGGGCCACTTTGGCATGGGTATGCGGCTATGAACGGAGTATCGTATCGTAACGACACCTTCCACGATCTAGCGCGATGATCAACCGTTATTGCAAAGGTTATTGATGCATCGAATATGACGATAGGCTTCTTTTCCACCTCACCATTCTCTCCGTGACCGATGGCGTGTATTCCTTTTGGATTACATGCCGCTGGCGAGAAGTTAAGACGTTCTATCCTGATTGAATCAACTGCATCTTCCTCATGTGCTTCTAGAAGGATAAAATCATCCACGAGGTATGTTGAATGATGTCCTCCAAGAGGATCACTATTGTGAGCCATAGCACGGACATCACTTGGTGTGATACGGTTACCCCGTGGGGGTGCCTGGTTGATAACGGCCATTTCAGAGCGATCAAGATCAGCGGATGCTGCACATGGACCAACCCAACCAGCTATTTGAGATACCCCAAAGGCAGCTCCAAGGACTTTCCCAACTATGGATTCCCATGACCAATATGTATGCCCTCGGTACTGCATACCAATATTTGGTGTTGTTGGTGAGAGGTTATGGAAATCCTCCGGTACGTCAGGATCGCAGTCTGTGAGTGCATTCATCAAAACCCATGACATTGATTTTCCGGGTAGAAGCAGCCCTGTAAACCATGACATGCAATTGTTGCTTTTATCCTCGAGAAGTTCTTCGGGGTTATCCTCTTCGGAAAGTGTATATTCAACTTCGTGCATATTCGGCCATCTATCATTTAAATGTTAATATCCAGTGCTTTCTCTTTATCTCCTAGTCAAGGGAGAGTAATAAATGAAATAAAAGATAGGTAGAGAAGACAAGTTGAAGTAGGTAAGAACCCGAACATCTTTTTCAAACTATGAGGCTGGATTCCCATCATGATAAAGAAGCAATGTTGTTCAACTTACTTGAGCGTCCAGGCAAAATTACGTAATGCCTCAATTTGATTTTTCTTGTTTGGAAATTTGAACGAAATGTTCGACTTTTGGCGCTTGCCGTTGGGACCTTTGACAGTCTTGGGAGGTTCTACCTCAACATTCTCAAGCCATCGTTGCGCCAATATCAAATCCCATCTGATCTTCTCCGGCATATCCGCTAATGGTTTCAACGCCATGCTAGTTTTATCCCTCGCATTAATTCTTAGGTACAGTTCTACTGATAGGAGGAGCTGATGAAAGAAGCTATTCGCCACACCAGGTGTTGGGTCTGAGAGGAATCGAGCAATTGTCTGGTTTTCAATCAAAGAAAAGTCCACCCAACTCGGGCGACACAAAGCAGCGACAAGATCCGAAATCTGGGTGTCGAGCGAGAATTGGGTATGTGGGTGTTCATATTTGCGTGTATCATGCAGCAGATTCTCGTAGAGATGGTGATGAAGCTCATAAGGGTCCTCTTCAACACCATTCTCTTGGAGCCTTCGTAATCGATCGAGGACATAGAGCATGGTTAGCTTTCGAACCTTCCCCCGAGCCGCCACCTCCGAGCCTCTAAAAGTACTCCCGAAACTAGCAACATAATACGACAATGTCACAGTTCCTGGGTAAATTCCAAATGCATGCCCCATAGCTGGGCGCTCTAAGGCATCAGTCTGTTTTCCCTCTGGGCTTGAACTCATATCACAGAAAGAGTCACTCTGAAAAGCAGCAGTATCTGATTCTTCATCCCATTGATCCCCGGCGAATGCAAATAGATGAAAATGTCCCCTGGGGCCGTTTGTAATCTCTCGAAGCTCGCCTTGAAACGTAGGCGCACCTTCACTGATAAAAACCTTGGCTTCGTTTGGGGTGAGCCCGGTTTGATAAGTTGTAGGCGGCCATCTTTTGGTGGGTGGTTTTAAGGGTCCGGGGGGAGCAGGAAGAGCTAATGGCGAGAAAACAGGAGAAGAGAGAGATGTTGATGAGTGAGATGAATGGGAGGGCGTGGGTGCCTCCTTGGAAGGGAGCACAATAAGATTCCCCCCCTCTTGCTCAATTCTAAACCTTTGACTCTTCTGTCGGGACAACGAATATTGAGACAAATCACTTGAGCGGGAAGTTGATGGGTGATGTGAATGGGGGTGGTGCGAATACCCACTGGAATAAGGTGTTAAGGATTGGGAACTTGTGTATGATGGATGCTGCTGGAGTGATTGAGGATGAGGTATATGTGACTCGTAATTTGGGTATGTGATTTGGTGTTGGGGAGGATAGGCTTGAGGATGTGCATTATGTGAATTTGGGTATGAAGAATGAGGGGCGTATTCGTATTGGTGGGGCGGGATTCCTTGAACAGGCGGGGGAGCACTATGGTAATGACCGTTCGGATAAGAATGGTGCTCTATTGCTTGATGCTCTACGGAATGACCATATATTCGTGGATCGTACGGACCATAGTCCGTGACGGGCAGAGTACCAACGGAAGAATACTCATATTCTTGATCTCGGGGGTCCTACAAAAAGCGGTTGCGCCCGTTTAGAACTTGTCCAAATCACGCCGGCTGGCGGACAACTTTGTGGAAATGATAACAGGGACAAAAACTAATATAACAACGGCCCTTTCGAGAGGAAACAAAGCTGGAAACAAAGCTGGAAGGAAAGCCAGAAAGCATACCCCTATATGTCTTATACCAGATCCCCTACTCCGCGTAGAGTACGAGCGGGGCTGGTCGGTGATGTCCGGAGGAGCGCCAGGAGCATGGGCGCGATACCTTGTCGAAGATGTTGACGACGCGGAGGGTTTCATATCAAAAGAGAGAGAAAGGTCCTATTCTCCTTCTCGGCGTTCTTTAGCTGGTGCTACTGTTAATGTAGGAACGCTGTTAGCCCAGGTTGCGTAGACATAGCAGATATGGTGTGGTGGTTGGGAAATAGCAGTGACGATTCGCTTCAAAAATCGACCCCGAAGCGCTGGGGCGCAGAGAAAAAAAGAGGAGCAAATCGGGAATCGGACTTCGACCAGGGAAAACAGGGCATGAGGGTAAATACTTGAATAATATATATTCAAGATCCAATAAATTCTCAAGCTTCACGGGTTAACAGCCAGGTTGGACCTGGCCGATAAGGCTGGTGCGTATAGAAGATGACGAAAGCAATTACTTGCCTGCTGGATAAAACCGCGATACCTGCAACCCACCACTGACAACACAGTCGACTACAATAAAGGAAGCTTCGAGAAGTTGCTGCTTTCTTTACTGATTGTGAAGGGAGGTGGTGATAACTAGGACTCTCGACCAAGCCAGCCAACAGACACAAATAAACAAAAAACAAATACAGGTGTTGAACAGCGAAGAGGAGTTTCCAAGAAGACAGATGTTGCTGGTTCGTCCACAGCTCGTTGGTTCACTTATTTTCCCGCTCTCTCCACTCGACAACACTGCAGTATGTAAGGTGTCTTTTGGATGCTCTTTAATGCCTCTTCCCGTCAAACCACGGCTCAAAATTACGACAAATCACGTCGCAAAAAAGCCAGCTGCCAACTCGCGCGTCTGCGATACCCAGAAAACTGACCGTCGCTGCCAAAGAATGAAATAGCAAGGTGGTGGTGACACGGTAGCGAGTGTTCGACGAGAATTAACGCACAAAACGGGATGCCCTTTGGGATGATGTCTTGCTATGGATTTGCGCAGCTGGCGAAATGAGCTGGTATGTGGGATATATGTGCTTCTCAGAAGCGGACAGTTACCTAGGACCCCTCGTCTCCTGGAATGCCGTGATGTACCTACAGAATGCCACGGCCTATTATATCTACGTAGATCAAACCGGGCCTACGGGGGGTTTGGAGTTGACCCAGGACCGTAAAAGCTAGACAGGACGCTACTGTACGTGCAAAGTGATCACTGACGATGGTGATATTCGATTGGGTGGGGCCTCTCAAGGCTGGCTAAGCCGACGAGCGGGGGAGATGTCTCGGAGGATCCAACTAACGTGTATCAAGCAACTGTTCGAACTACATGGTTACCCTATGTAGTACCTACATGTAGGTACTGTAGGGTAGAACACAGTAAAACATTTAAAATAGGTACTAATACTCTAGCTAGAGTATACTCCGCAACTATGTACCTGATTGCTTATGCACTGTCTTTTCAACAAAAAAATGGCAATCCAATACGCAAAGAAGAAAGCAAAAAGATAGGATAACCCAAGTAATTATTCCGATGCACTAGATCAACGGGGACTAAGTTTGTAAATAATTCGTTGAAAACATGTCACGCTCTCTTGGGTCTGTTCTGACTTTTGAATATCTGATTAGACATCACTGCATCTGCAGTTGCTCATCAGCAGGCATCACTTCGATTCTTCGTTCTTTACCCTGCAGAAAACCTCTGGATGTATGTACCTACATGTACTTCAAGATCTATAATCCGACATCGGTGAGCCCCCCACGTCGTTTTAGCTGTCCATGTCAATCGGCCTTAGAATCCAAAGAAGAGAAGCACGAGAAAAAGTATTTGTACTTTGTGATTGGTATTTATATAAGTCCCTTCGAATTGACTGTCTCGCTAGGCAGCAGAATGAGGCTGTCGCTCATCGTTATGCCACATGGGACGAACTGCCGTGCAGCTGTCACAGTGCCTAATGTATGATGCAGCAGTGCCATTCTGTAGTAACGATCTAATTAGCTAACTCATTGGACTTGCTTGGCGTGGGACCTGATATCAATTAATTGATGCTTTCGAATTCTTCAGGTACTTACAATAAACTAGATTTCTATGACAACATGCAACCTGGACATGCAGGATCTTGCGGAGCCGCGAGTACCGGTCGAGGAATTAATTTTGTGAAACGCTAATGGCCCCCAAAATGCAAGCCAGAAATTTGGTCACCCCGACTCTTCTCAAGCTGTGAACAAAAAATGTTTCCCCGCATTGTTTCAAGGTGGATTTCCGATTGTTATTGCTTGTTTCCGTGGAACCATCCCGAGAGTCTGGAGCACTGCACAGTCCGTCTCCCTTTGCGTGTGTGTGTGCGCCGCGGTGGATCATCCTACGGAATCGCACTTGTCAAGTTCCCACATCCTGCATTTCATCCCACGCTCAATCACATCATAATCGCGGGGTTTAAAGGGAGCGCCATAGCACATGATGATATGCATTCGAGGGGTATCCAAATCTTCCTAGAATATCACCGGCGGGGCCCCGTTGTACACAGCCTCGGCCGGAAAAATCAAAAACGTATGATTCAAACAGTCGACGTACGTACATACTGTAGTTATGCAAGTTAATTAATAGATACAGATATGCACGGTTCATTGTCTAAAGAGAGATTTCTTATAAGTTGACGCTTCGAAAAGAGAATCGATGATATCTGGAGATGCGAGGTATATCTATAGAGTACATATACGAATTCAACCACATAATGGAACCAGCACTAGTTATTTCTGCCAATACATTCTGAGCTCGCAGTAGATTTACTTCCTATCAAAACTCTATGGTTTAAATTTTTAAGAGATATGTATCTCCCGCTCGAGCTCACGGTACGTATATCTACAATCATTATGACCTTGGGCACTGTCTGCCTGCATGGAAAGAAACAAAGAAGGGAGGAAACCTACTATATAGGTTGACCTAATTCTAGAAGCCGGTACCCGAGCCCAGTCTCTAAACAGATTAGACTCATGACATTACGGAGTTTCTCACGGAGAATATACTAAAGGCGATCCAGCTCAATATACATGTGCAGCTGGCTACCCGCATATAAGGGGTCAATGCAATGTTTTGTAAATGAATGAATCCCGTACCCTCCCGCATAACATATACATGTACTTATATTTGATCGACAAGGTTCCTGCTTCGTGGCCCTGTGCTGATAATATATAATGGCACCCCAGAAATATCGATAGATAAAGCCTCGCAGTACTGTTGCGGCCACATCGCAGCTTGGGGGTTTCCCTAGATATGATACATCTAGACCGATTAAGCTCATAGTCTCCTTTAACTATTAAATTGCTAACTTAACAACTTTGGATGCCATGGATATATTCTAGGTCTGACAGATCAAGAAAAATATTATCTTCATCAGAAACCACTCGCCCTCAGGTGCCAGGTCATACATGCAGTTAGGGCACATTAGCGTTAATTAAACGACTACATGTAGCCTATTAGACATCCAAAATATGAACTAATGAATATTTATTAGAAGTAAGCAACAGTTATAAAGCGTATCCGTATCTTCTTTGGTTGCCGAAGTAGTAGTCAACATGTTATATAGGCATGAATGAGAACAATTTTCATTATCATGTATGTACGTACATGTACTCAGTAACTAACTTACTAACGTTTGTGGACGCGACCAATATTGCATACCATACAAAAATACGCCAAGCTCATGATTTTTAGTGTATGCAATAGTGGCCCAGTTCAAAAACGCCAGGAAGATACGAGCAGAGACTCATGTAGATACATGTAACGTGTTTCACCGGGAAAGCAACCGAACCTCACAAAATAAGGTTGTGGGCACCAAAACACAATATATGAAGGCACATATACTTGCCAGATTTTTTTCTGTGTCCAGCTGCTTCTTCCTCATCCGGAAATATGGGAGTGCTACGAAGCAACGGCCCTAAAACTTCGTGAATTTGATAGATATTTGGTGAGATAAAGTCGTTGCGACTCTTCCGTATCAGGAAGAATAGGTTCGCTGGACACAGAAAAAAATCCGGCAAGAGGGTTCAGTGTGTCCTTTCCGAATCCTGGAGTTACTTTATAATGAATATAAACCAAAATTTGGTAAAGTCGATAAAGCTTACACTCCCTAACCCAGTCAATGACCTCTCTGAAACAATACTCTCGCTAGATAGAGGTAAATCATGTCAAAAATATTTAGGAGACATCTAAATAACACCTCTGGCTACTTGGTTCTGTAATTGTATATAAATTCGGCTTTCTTCACCAACTTTGGATCATCCCGTTGTCACTCTTGATTGCTTTCCCGGTGACGATCGCTTTCCGGTGAAACACGTTATATGTATCTGTATCTCAACAACAGATCTTGTCACCAATCTTTCACCAATCAAGCATCACTTTGTGAGCCAGTGCAACGTGCACTACATTACTCGTATTTCTCTGACGTTTGTGGACGCGACTGATATTGCATGCCATACAAAAATACGCCAAGCTCATGATTTTGGGTGTATGCAATAATGGCCCAGTTCAAAAACGTCAGAGAAATACTAGTATTATGGGTTTCCACAAGTAAGCGTACATTCACGTTGCAACCAAAATTTGTATGGGAATGCAACTTCAAAAGCGTATTTCTCCACAACCACAAGGAGATGGAGCAAAGGAATCTTAGATATGGATTCTCCGGTAGTGATAGTATCTACAGCTAAAATGTCAGTTCGAGAGGGCGAATTTGAAATTTTGATGTTGTTAGGTGGTTTGTATGGTTACCACCTCAATGTTCGCTTACTTGTGGAAACCCGCAATACATATATATACTCGTGCATGTATCACATACTCAATTTAAGTACTGAGCAGCCTGAGAAATTAATTGACCCCAATATAGGGCTTTAGGTGTATTTGAAACATTACGTCTTTAGATGTACGTAATGTCGAATTTATGTATCTGTGAATCGAGTTGCAATCATTTAATCGTGATATCGTTGTTTGATATCACTCCTTATCTACTGCCCTTCTTTCAGGCATATATATATCTTGGCGAGAGAAAAGGTTCGAAAGATAGAACATTCACCTAAGTCTTCGGCTAGGCATCGTTGCTACATGTACCAGTGTTGGATCACAATGTCAACAATGCCATGTGCATCCAGTCTCAACCTGCGTGTGCATGCTCCCTCCGAGCTAGATGTTTCAGATTCTTCATCGTTGCCTCATTTTGATGTTTATCACTATCGATTGAGATGGACCCATCGTTGAGACTCCGCAAACGGTCATGAGTTGACACTCTTGGTCCTAGCCTCTTCCTCCCCTCCCCCGCGCAAGAGATGCCAATGCCAATGGCAGGGGTTTTTAACCTACGTAGTTAAAGGAATCTTCAAGACAACATAATCAATGACCTCTATCTAATCACATCTCTGGATGGGATGAGCTGTCTCGGTCGTATATCAGGCACCCTAGAGATATTCAAAAAACTGTTATCCAACTATACCCGATTTGATTCTACAAAAAAGATTAGCCTAGAATACAGAAGAAGCCCATTACAGGTGTGTACATATGGTTCTAGAAAGCGGGGGAGCTGGGTCGGGAATGCAACCAATGGGGAGCATGAGAAATGTGGAACTGAATCATAAGGGATCACTCACAGTCCGGCAAGATCCATATATACACTTCCTCGAGCTAGATTTTGACAAATCATAAAACCCAGAGCCGGAAGGACTAAGTGAGCCCCTAATCACGCACTCGATCCCTTTCGTGTTGTGTACTTGTATGTAGCAGATAGAACCAGAAAATGCAATTACATCAATTTGTATGGCGGAGCAGCGCCACTCCATACAAACAACCCCCGCTTCGTCACTTGCATTTTCTAGTTCTTATTGCTGAGCACGAGGATAAGTATATGCTCAATTCCATACGAATGCACTGATCAACATCAGTGCTTTTGTTCTCGGGTGTGCAGGGTGATCTTGCCGCTCTTTGCTGTCACACATAATACACTGTCATTGGAGTTAGCATCACTCTTAGACAAAGTTAGCTATTCGTGATGGTTTGATTAGCTTACATGGGCGGCCCTGATATATCGATGGCGCATGTTGACGTTGTTTCAAGGCCTAAAGATCACCATTAATAGTGCCGAGATCTAGATAAGATCACTTGAAATTCGGTTGTTGCGACATTGTTGAAAAGAGGTTTGCAATAGTCCCGCTAGGTCGATGTCAACGGGATGATGTCAAGTGCCGACCCCCGGGTTTGGTTTGCAATTTGGACCCTTGACATAAGACCTTATTATGTAACCTCCTCGAGCCCATGCGGAATTCGGGACCCTGACGACTCGGAGTGCGCACCGATGAACCAGATCAGAAAACCATATCCACGAGCTTTACGAATCAATAACATTTTGGGAATGGCGTTCAGTGTTTACTAGCTACGGATGACCCATGCTCAGCTCATGCATGGCGCTCGCCTGTGAGATATGTACCAATGGCCGCCAACTTAGGTAACCGAGATACCCAGCGACCGGTTATCTATAATTATGAGATACATGTATGCGTAGGTACATTCGCAAGGGTGGAGATAGAGTTCAAGCTGCAGATTAAAACTCCAGCCTTGCCTCCCTCTTTGCGAGTGAGCTCTGGTCGTTCACCATACAGCCTTTTCCCTCCCGAAAACAGAGTCGGGACCTCTGGCAACTATTCAACACCAATCGTTTCCTGCTGATACGTGCGTGACACCTAGGGTTACAACACGAAAGCTAGCTGAGCTATACAAGTTCCAGAGGCGCACAAATCCCTTCCGAAATGGCAGAAGTAGCAAGAGGCGATGAGTCTGCGGACGCCCAGCTCGAGAAAATGGGCTACAAATCTGAATTACCAAGAAACCTTAGCATGATGTCAATTCTTGGACTGTATGGTTTCCCTCCATTGTGTGTGCCTCCATTCAAACTTACAAATTATATCTCTACAGGTCTTTCGCAATTATGGGTTCGTTTAAGCCAATTCCTAGGGAGATGAGTTTTAAAAATGCTATAAGGATCGGATTGTACTGATGCCGACGTTGCCCAAGGGCCCTTTCTTGGATATAGCTGTACCATTTGTATGTTTGTTTTTGACGTGGGTTATCATCACGTTTGGCTAACCATTCTACACGTATAATAGGGTATAAGTACTACAATGTATATAACGCTCATAGATGGCCAATCAGTAACTATAATATGGGGCTGGTGTTTCGTATCTCTAATTTCGCTCGCAATCGCCGCTTCTCTTGCCGAAATTTGTTCAGTATTTCCTACAGCTGGAGGAGTCTATTACTGGTCTGCGATGCTTGCAACTAAAGAATGGGCACCAATTGCATCCTGGATCACAGGATGGCTTACGCTAGTTGGGAACTGGATGGTTACGACCAGCATCAACTTCTCGGGAGCACAGTTGATATTAAGCGCCATCTCGTTGTGGAGAGAGGACTGGGCGCCGAATGCATGGCAGACAATTTTAATGTTTTGGTGTATGATTTTGCTATGAGGGTTATCATTACCAGATCGAATGAAGATGTGACTGACTTATTTAGGTGTTACGCTAATATGTGCATCCGTCAATATATTCGCCTCAAAACATCTGGATTTCATCAATAGGATATGTATCTATTGGACAGGAGCCGGCGTTATAATCATTCTAGTCACTCTGCTCTCAATGGCTGAAACGAAGAGGAGTGGGGCGTACGTCTTTGGTCATTTTGACGCTTCGCAGAGCGGCTGGCCTGATGGCTGGGCGTTCTTTGTAGGTCTACTACAAGCTGCATATACATTGACTGGATATGGAATGGTGGCATCTATGTGTGAAGAGGTTCAGCAACCTCATCGCGAAGTTCCTAAAGCAATGGTTTTATCAGTCGCTGCTGCAGGTATTACTGGTGTTATTTATCTCATCCCAATACTATTTGTTTTGCCCGATGTAGCAGTCCTTTTGGGCGTCAAGAACGGACAACCAATCGGGTTATTATTCAAACTTATTACTAGGAGCCCAGGTGGAGGGTTTGGCCTATTACTTCTGAGTAAGTCGCGCAATTATCTACGGTGTCAAGGCTTGGCCATGTGCTAAAGGAGTTCGGATTCAAGTTCTTGGGATTTTGTTTTTCGCCGGGATTGGAGCCTTTACCGTTGCAAGTAGATGCACTTATGCGTTTGCTAGAGGTGAGAAATTGAATTCTAGGTGACTTTTGATAATCGATTGACTTATCTTTTTCTTATACAGATGGTGCTATCCCTGGATCAAGATTGTGAGTACAGATACGTATTAGTCAGAAGGACTATCAAAACCAATCATACTAATACATATGATGGTAGATGGCGCCGAGTGAGCCGAAGATACGGAATACCTTTAATGGGGCTGATTCTTTCGACCACTGTGTGCTCCTTGCTAGGGTTGATATATTTTGGAAGGTATGTGTGTCCAAAACCATTCTTTCTTTGGATGTATTCTAACGAAAAAAAAAAAAAAAAAAAAAAAGCTCGGCCGCATTCAATTCCTTTACCGGAGTGGCCACGATATGTCTAAGTACCTCCTATGGTCTACCCATCTTGGTTTCTGTACTTCGTGGAAGAAAACTCGTCAAAAACGCACCTTTCTCCCTTGGAAAGTTTGGAATGACTATCAACCTGCTCTCGATTATATGGATTTTACTTGCGTATGTTCCCGGGTAATGATTTTTTGGTAAGGATCTAGATTGACATGTGTTCCAGTATTGTGTTATTTTGTATGCCTATTGCAATACCGGTGACAGCACCTGGAATGAGTAAGTTTCTCTTTGTCCATTCTTTTATATTCCTGGTTATCATAACATAAAATTAATGTCCGGACCTCATTAGATTATGCATCGGTTGTATTTGCGGGTTTTACGGTAGTCTCTGCAGCATGGTATTTCATCCGCGGTAGAAAAGAATTCAAGGGGCCTCCGATAGAAGGGGACGTCATTGAGATGAAATGAACATGAGGACTTTTGATTTATATTATATTACGATAGCTAGTAGATATCAACTACATACATACATATAACCCTTTAATACTGAGCACGTACATACAGTGTATATCTAGAGTACATGTATTTTACCTCCATACAGTACCTGTATACGTATATACGATGTAAGTATATGTATCTTTGACTAGAAGTATATATAGCTACTTAAAAGGGCGATTTTTACCCCGATTATAACACGAATATTCGCGCGTTCATTAAATGGTCGAGGTTTTTAATGGGGATTTAGTCGCAATGACATCCAACCATTTAATGAACGTACGCACGATTAGACAAACTCAATTATTATATTCATAAGATGATATGTGGTACATGTAAGTCAGTCACAGGTAGCCTATCAGTGGTATCGATAAGCTCAGCTACAGTATATATTTTCTGGATCAATATTGGTGAATAGTCAAATCAGCTAAGGCGCTGATGTAAATGGTAAGATCTATAAGTCTCGTGCCCATACTCTACTATACTATGCGAGAGGTTATCACACAAACAAGCAACAGGGTTGGTGAACGAGTGATGGCTGAGGGATAGCTGTGGACGGGTGATGGTTGATGAAGGAGGGACAGATGTGGACGGGTGGGTTGATGGGCAGGGACGAACAGGTGCTCCCAAACTAAACGCAAACCCGTTTAGACCTCTGTTATCTACTACATTTCTCAGTTTACTACTTGCTAACGCCACTTTCTTTTTTACTACCGTGTCCGCTAAATCACCCTTGTCTAGATAGGACGACTCATCTGTTTCTCTGTGGGAATGATCCCCGATATTTGCAGTGATTTCGATTGGCCAATAAGCGCGCATTCGCCATTGACCCAGAAAGGACTATCCTCTAGCGCTATCTAGATAGCATGATAGATCCCGGAATGGGGAGCTTAAGTGAGGCATCAAAACTACCTACATACTCTAATATGCCTTGACATAACGTGATGCACAGATCATCTTCCGCCGCTATGGGAACATAGACCGCGGTTCAAGATGAGGATGCTCGCGGTGCATTTATATCCCCGTGCATAATAAAGATCGAACAAGATAACGTCTCCTGCCTTCCTCCGCGGGTCTAGAACCACTTATATCAAAGCTGATAAAGGCTTAAGGTATATTTTACATGACGCATGTTAAAGAGGAAACCTCTTATCAGCTACGGCGAGTATTCCTGATAGTTTCTATATAGCTCTACAACTGATCTGTTTCGACTGCTGTCAGGTTCAAAGGCGATCTTGTAGTGCCATCCCTCATTGTATCATGATATCCGGCAGTTGAAAGTGCATTTGGTGCTTGCTTTTGAAGTATTTCGCCCCCATCTAGGATTGAGTACATAGCCGTTGCAATGCAATTGTTGCTGAAGGCTCATTGACCTCAGTACGCATGGCTAATATCGTGGCATACTGACAGAATTCAATGGCATTTATTTTGCCAACGCTCAAGTTTCATGTTTAATAGTCCCAATCGAGCTTACTAGCCACAATCTTGCTGCTAATAATCATTTTCCTGAAGCACATATATGTAGGTTGGTGATCCGGCGAAGCAAGCGACGTTGAGGGGTTACGGTGCACAGCCCTGCAGTAGAGCCAGTATCTCTTGCTGCTAGATCAACAAGCCACTTAAAGAACGCCTCACTTGTATAACGCTTTGTTTTTCGCGCCCACTACGCCAATGTATTTACTGCGCAGTGAAAGACAACGGTCCTGCGCACTTGTTTGAGGTGTTAGAAGAAAAAGATATTTTCCTCTCCAGGAGTTAATGAAGGTACGGAGGAGGACAATTTGACGACTTGGAAAAGCAAGCTGTGGATGTGTTGAAAATTGAACCTGAACCATGACGATGGACGCGAGGCTCAGGCGGGAGTTCGGGGGGAATCGCGACGCAACCCAGCCGTGAATCTACCTATTCGATGAAGGATAGGCAGGCGGTAGTATTCCTATGTACCGCTCTATCAAGGGTGGGTAAAGATATATATCTGTATCGTATGGAAAAGAAGAGAGAAAAAAAAGGTTTGATAGTTGTGTGTGTGTGTCGACTATATTTCTCTCTCAGAGGCCAGGGGGATTTGCAACTCTGCAGGATTCGCTCGTTCTTCTCCGGACATCTATTCCAATCACGGCGACTTCATCGAGTCTGGATAATTGTCGAATCAGGGCGAGCACACCCGCTCTTAACTACTACAAAGAAACGTAGTAAGTAAATACATAGCAGCACACCAACAATCTCACTCGTCTCTTTACAGCTGCGGTGCTAGTCCCGGTCCTTACCCAGGGAGAAAAAAGAGTAACTGCTGTCGACGTCCGTTCAACCACCCTACGGTAATTTACCGACAACATCCTGACAGACTCCACCGTACATACATACCACCATACATACTCCCTTGACTGTCATCGACGTCTATTACACGCCCTTCGACACACCCACACCCACAACTTCACAACCTATTCATCTACCTACACAACCCCCGCCCACACTGTACCAACCCATTTACACGTTTCCACGTTCATTCCATACACCAAACAAAGACGTCACGGCATCTCCAGGACCCTCTCCATCCATTCATTCATCTTCCTCCAGGTCCCTAGCTCCCCCCCCCCAAAAAAAAATAAGGAACCGAAAAGTGTTTATCCCGCAGTGCCGTTCATTCTGGAATTTCCACAGCCCGTAATACCCTGCCGATCGAAAATTTCTCCAGGGCAACGCTGAAGTTCTGCCTTCTACCTAACCTTCAAACACCTCGTTCAACTAGGATCCCCGGAAAGCTCTGTTAAACTCAGTAGTAAGCTCTACTTCACTTACCCCTTACTTTTCGCAGTTGGTTTGTGTTTTCAGGTGAGGGGCTAGCTGCTTCAACGGTGGCAGTGGTCAAGGATGGCAAAACAACGAGAAATTGGGGCGCTGCCGTTAATTATGAACAGATGGATTGGTGGATCATATACTAAAAGCTTGCGACAGATCTTTATACCGTTTCCATCATCAGAAAACAGCACTTAAAGACATCACTAAACGAGCTATCGGGTGGGCGATGAATGAGGAGGAATTGAACAGTAGCAGCCCTTCCGACTCCTCTTTAACGAACCCGTCCTCCCTGTCCTCGCCTACCTTCGACCGTTCCAAACTTCCCTCAGAACAACTTTGGACGACAGCCAACTTTTCACAAGGCCTAACACCGCCTCCAGACTTTACAGAACCACGTGATAATTCACAACCATTTCAACAATCGGGTGGCTTTGGGGGGGATTTCGAACGATCAACTATTTTTTCCCTTGGATATCAACAGCCCCTTACACCTTCATCTATCTCTGTGATATCGGATTCTTCAGATCTGGATTCAAGGTCTAAAAAAGGGTCGTCATTGGAGTCTTTCGCAACGGAGGCTATTCTAGGTCCAGGGGGTGATGTAGAGATGAGCGGGGACTTTTCAGGCGGTACCCAAGCACGAAGTAGTATTCAAAATTCCCGGAAATCTCCGATAAAGCTCGAATCAGCGTTGGATATGAATGGAGAGGGTCGAGGTTCCGACCAATTCGACGTTGACCAGTTTTTCAACTTTGACGAAGCAGCGCTTTCTGTACCTGATCCAGTAGCCCAACAGTCATCCTCATTTCCAGCACCCATATCACTTCATAATATTGACAGCCCACAGCAACAACATATGCCGTTAAGCCCTGTGCCGTTTGGCGGCAATCACTTTGGACAAAATTTCATGGAAGATGATTCCAACAACACAAATATGCATATGGCTGGGAATCGTCGGAAAAGAAGTCAGGATCAGATTTTTGATGATAGTTTCTTTGAAATGTCAGACGATGGGAATAATGCACAAACTATAAAATCGACACACACAACTGCTGTTAGTTCACCGACGTATTATGAGGCGCATTCGCCCGATGATTCAAGAAATGGGCAAAGGTTTACTACGCCACCAAATCCTTCAACGCCCTGGGATCAGTATTCGTTTAATGCGTCACAACAAGCCAGGCCAATTGCCGGTTCCTCCCGAATTAACCAGAAACGACCTTCGTCAATAGCTTCTCAATCCAGGTCATGTGCTGTGCCACCACAACCACAACCACCATCTCATCCAGCTACAGGAGTCCATTTTCCAATGCATCTCCCGTCGACTCTGAGTGTGGACCAGATACCAACCAAATCCAGGGTTGAGACACAGATTCCAGTCAAAATTCATCTCTTCCCTTTCCCAGCTGGGGTTACCAAACTTCACTTACCGAGACACACCATTTCAAAACCGAAGTTATATGCCAAGCCACCAGTCACAAAGTCTCCTGACATGTTGGAATTGCACGCGAATCTCGTCTGCTCTAGCGCCATGCGGAATCATGATTGGCTTGCAAGTGCTTTGGCACGTGCACGTGGAGAAGATGTTCTGCCCGGTTACAGAAAAGATCCCTCTCAAAGAATGGAAATGACCGAAGGATCCAGTGGAGATGATTCAGATGACGCACCTCGTAGTGAAAACTCGAACTCGGACAAGACAAGTCCGCTAAGTGGAGGAGAGGTCAAGATTTGCCTTGGCTGCATGTCAAGAGAAAGAAAACGGGCTGCAAGGAAAAAAGCGAAAAAGATCAAGGAAGAGGATGAATGGAAAGAGGATGAAGCAAAAAGAGCAGTTGTTTTCAATAACACGGAGGTCCGAGAATGGATGCCTATATCGAAATCTCAGTACCACTCAAGTTTGGCACCTGGAAATCTCGAAGGTGGAATGATGGTTGAACTTCACATGAGGCTTGCCTGCTATTGTAGACACCAAGGCGAGAAAGAAGGGTTTAGGTTTGTAGCCCTATGAAACCGGTAATATACAGAATTGAGGATGTTCTAATATTATGTCTAGAGTTATCTTCACGATCAAGAATCATTTGGACGAAGTCATCGCTCAACAGATTACAAGCTCTATCCTCATCACAGATGATCACAAATCCAACTCGACTCTTTCTACAATGCCTGCTGGATCT